AAAGCTATCATTTTCCCCCGTCACCACCTCCATGAAAGTCTCAAATCTGAATATCTTTTGGTTGATGATCCAAAAGAATTATGGGACAATTTACAAGAGAGATATGGCCACCAACAAAAGGTACTTTTGCCAAAAGCTCAGTATTACTGGATCAATTTAAGATTCCAGGATTTTAAATCAATCAGTGACTATAATTCTGCCATGTTCCAAATAACATCTAAACTAAAGTTATGCGGACAAAAAGTCACGGATGCTGATATGTTGGAGAAAACCTTTTCTACCATGCATATTTCTAATATGCTGCTACAGCAGCAATATAGAGAAAAGGGTTTTAAAAAATACTCCGACCTTATATCAGTTCTACTTGTTGCTGAGCAAAATAATGACCTTCTGATGAAAAATCATAATCTGAGACCCACTGGTTCTAGTCCTTCGGTTTATGGTCCATCTGGCCATAATTTAGCCACTGAATCAAATGCAACATACAGTGGCAGTAGAAGGCATTTTAAACGTGGGCATTTTAATGGTCATAAAAACAAGTCACACCGAGAATACAAACAGGTCGAAAGACCAAATTACAAGGGCAAGGGCAAACAAAAAGCCCATCAAATAAATCGCCCTCCAAAATCCTCGGGAAAGTCGACTTGTTATAAATGTGGCATGACGGGACACTGGGCTAATAAATGTCGCACGGCTAAACATCTGGTGGAGTTATTTCAAGCTTCCATGAATCTGAACAAAGGCAAAAATGTGGAAGCTAATTATGTTAATGACACAACTCCACTTATGCCAAAATTTGACGTGTCCGACTTCTTCGTGGATGATGGTATTATGGATGATGCTTTTGCCATTAATCAAAATGCTACAAAATAAAATATTAGACTCCTGATATTGTAAAATACTAGTTTTATGTACTTTTTATCTTGTTTTTTTAAATAAATGTGTGTAATATATGTACTCTTATGTTAAATAATATGCATAATTTGTGGTCAAGCTTATGTTTATTTACATATATTGAAGATATGGATCACTCAAGTGATAAAGAGCTATGTCTGATAGACAGCGCCACAACGCACACCATTTTGAGAAATAAAATATATTTTTCTCAAATGACTTTAGTTGAGGCTAAAGTCAATACAATATCAGGTGTTGCGAAGCTCATTGAAGGCTCTGGGAAAGCATATGTGATGCTCCCTAATGGGACAAAAATAATTATAAATGACGCTTTATACTCCAGCAAATCGCGGAGAAATTTATTAAGCTTTAAAGATATGCGTCAAAATGGTTATCACATAGAAACCATGAATGAAAACCAAAAGGAATATCTTTGTCTTACGACAACTAAATCTGGCACTAAACATATTTGTGAAAAAATGCCAGCTTATTCCTCAGGACTATATTTCACTTATATTAGTCCATTCGAAATAAATTTGGTTTCTAATGCAAAGTTAGATGATGAGAAAACATTCATGTTGTGGCATGACCGTTTAGGTCACCCAGGCCAAGTAATGATGCATAAAATCATTAAGACTTCACTTGGACACCCATTAAAGAATATCAGGGTTCCATTATCAAGTGATTTTCCTTGTAAGGCCTGTTCTCTTGGCAAAATGATCATCAGGCCTTCTATGACCAAAATTGCAACTGAATCACCTGCATTTTTAGAAAGGATTCAAGGAGATATTTGTGGGCCGATAGCCCCGCCATGTGGACCATTTCGATATTTTATGGTGTTGATTGATGGTTCAACACGTTGGTCACATGTTAGTCTTTTGTCGACTAGAAATTTAGCATTTGCTAAACTCCTCGCTCAAATTATACGGTTAAGAGCTCATTTTCCGGATCATTCTATAAAGAGAATCCGACTGGATAATGCAGGAGAATTTACATCCCAAACATTTAACGACTATTGTATGTCGATTGGGATTGATGTGGAGCACCCTGTTGCTCATGTCCATACACAAAATGGTCTTGCTGAATCTTTGATTAAACGATTACAATTAATCGCTAGACCATTATTAATGAAGTGTAATTTACCTTCATCAGCTTGGGGACATGCTATTTTGCATGCAGCAAATTTAATTCGGCTTAGACCGACTGCATATCATGAATATTCCCCAATGCAATTAGTTACTGGACAAGAGCCAAACTTAGCACACATAAAAATATTTGGTTGTGCTGTTTATGTTCCGATTGCTCCACCTCATCGTACAAAAATGGGTCCTCAAAGAAGGTTGGGAATTTATGTTGGATTTGAATCTCCCTCAATACTAAAATATGTTGAACCGATGACTGGTGACTTATTCACCGCACGGTTCGCTGACTGTCATTTCAATGAGACAGTATTCCCAACCTTAGGGGGAGAAACTAATAAATCGGACCTAAGTACGAAAGAAATAACATGGAATGCAACAGGATTATCACACCTTGATTCTAGATCAAATATATGTGAGCAAGAGGTGCAAAAGATAATCCATTTACAAAATGTTGCAAATCAGTTGCCTGATGCATTCACAGACACAAAGAAAGTGACAAAGTCACATATTCCTGCTATGAATGCCCCTGCCAGAATTGAAATTCCAGCGGAGAATTCTGAAAAATCTCTTGCAAATGATTCTTCTATACGCAAAAAGCGTGGCAGGCCACTTGGATCAAAAGACATAAAACCAAGAAAGACTAAAAGGCAGGAATTGATCTGTGATGCCAAAGATGTTCATCCTTCTGAACAAGAAAATGAACAATTTGAAAATATTGGCATAGAAAATGATATTGACAAAACAAACATCTCAAATAATGATTCAACTTCCTTAAATGAGGAAGATATTCCAGATACTGATAGAAACGTTGATAATTATGAAATTTCAATAAATTACGTTTCTACTGGAATGCAATGGAATCGAAAAGATATTGATATTAATGAGATATTTGTCTATGTCGTTGCCACAAATGTTATGAATGAAAACAATGACAATGAGCCAACATCAATAGAAGAATGTCGGAAACGACACAATTGGCCAAAATGGAATGAAGCTATTCAGGCTGAATTAAAATCACTTGAAAAACGTGATGTTTTTGGACCGATAGTCCCTACGCCAAAAGGCGTAAAACCTGTGGGTTTTAAATGGGTATTTGTGCGTAAACGCAATGAAAAGAATGAAATTGTTAGATATAAAGCCCGACTTGTTGCCCAAGGTTTTTCTCAAATGCCGGGAATTGATTATGAAGAAACCTATTCTCCAGTAGTGGATGCAACTACATTAAGGTTTCTCATTGGCATGTCTGTTTTTGAAAGGCTGCAAATGCGCCTAATGGATGTAGTGACCGCATATTTATACGGTTCACTTGATACAGACATTTATATGAAAGTTCCCGGTGGATTTAAAATGCCTGAAGCTTATAGCTCGAAACCTCGAGACATGTTTTCCATTAAATTACAGAAGTCATTGTATGGACTAAAACAATCTGGACGAATGTGGTATAATCGTCTCAGTGAATACCTTCTCAAAGAAGGATATAAGAATGATCCAATTAGTCCATGTGTTTTCATTCGGCGATCAAATTCGGGATTCGCCATAATTGCAGTATATGTTGATGATTTAAACATTATTGGAACTCCCGATGAAATTGAAAATACTGCAAAATATCTTATGAAAGAATTTGAAATGAAAGATCTCGGGAGAACCAAATTTTGTCTCGGACTTCAAATTGAGCATTTGAAGAATGTAATTTTCATCCACCAATCCAATTACACCGAGAAAGTGTTGAAGAGATTCTATATGGACAAAGCTCATCCTTTGACTTCACCAATGGTCATTCGATCTCTCAACATACACGATGATCCATTCCGTCCCCGAGAAGACGACGAAGAAATACTCGGTCCTGAAGTACCATATCTGAGTGCTATTGGAGCTTTAATGTATTTAGCTAATAATACTAGACCAGATATTGCATTTTCTGTAAATTTATTAGCTAGGTACAGTTCATGCCCAACAAGACGTCATTGGAACGGGATCAAACACATATTCCGTTATCTACGTGGTACAGTTGATCTCGGCTTATTCTACCACAAAGATGCAAAAGCTTCTTTAATCGGATATGCAGACGCCGGATACTTATCAGATCCTCAAAAGGCAAAATCACAAACCGGGTACGTATTTACTTATGGTAATACCGCAATCTCGTGGAGATCTATGAAGCAAACATTGACGGCTACATCATCAAATCATTCTGAATTAATTGCACTGTATGAAACCGGGAGAGAATGTGTGTGGCTGCGATCTATGATTCAACACATCCAAAATGAATGCGGTATAAAGCCTATTACTTGTCACCCGACTGTGATCTATGAAGACAACACCGCATGCATAGCTCAAATTAAAGAGGGCTATATCAAAGGAGACAGAACAAAACACATATCACCAAAAATTTTCTCTACTCATGATCTGGAGAAAGATGGGACGATCAACATTCAACAAATCAGATCAAGTGAAAATCCAGCCGATCTCTTCACCAAATCTTTACCCCCGAAGAAGTTCACAGAACTTGTACAGAAAATCGGCATGCACCGCCTTCAAAATTTATGTTAAATTCAGGGGGAGTATTTGAATGCACTGCACTCTTTTTCCCTTCATCAGGTTTTTATCCCACTGGGTTTTTCCTGATAAGGTTTTTAACGAGACAGTACATCCAAATACAACGACATTATATGTCGTAATTTTTACCCCTTAATTTTCACACTCATTTTCACAAATACATACTCAAGGATGAACATTCAAGGGGAAGTGTTGTAAATTCCTGAGAATGACAAGTGTGAATGTTTCATCCTTGTCATCAGGACACTAATCCAATTCCAGTCCTTGTAATAGACAGATGTTTAGGTTTAATGTTGCCAGCAAATTATGTAGAATCATTCCTAGATGATTCATCCCAAGTCTGGCTAGTATAAATAGGGCATTCAATCCTTTGTAAATTGAATTCAAGCAATTCAGATACTCAGAAATTTCAGATATAGAGAAGAAGTAATTTAGAGGCTATTTATATCCATTTCTTAAATCTGTTCTTCATCTTCTTCATTACACAACACAAACAAGTTTTTGGCCTTGCATTGATGATAAACTAGATATAAATAAAGCCATATTCAAAAACCTCAAAGGAGTTTATCCCAACAAAACAAAAACGCTATTATTGATGCAACACTTTACGATGGAATTATATGGAAGTAACATTCCTCTATATCATGAATTCGTGATGGACCAAAAACTGGGTATAAAGATGAAAACATATAAGACAAATATACTATTCACAAAACTGCTATCTTTCATCTTCACCATACTCCTCACTCCACCCCAGGTCCCCAAGTGGGTGACAAGTCCAAAAATGTGGTCCAAATTTCACTCCATCCTTGCTAAGGAGGAGGGAACCTTGAGTTGTTGTACTTTCCCTTATGCCTACCACCTCCATTACCTCTTTTTCTGTAGCTACTACTTCTATCATCCCCCAATTTTCTCCCTGGAAAGTTGTTGTGATGATGACCATATTGGCCTTTCATTTCGCCATAATTTTCTCTGTGTTGATTGTAATTTGAATCCCACGTGTTACCCGAATCTCCCCCGAGTCTGCCATACTTATCTGTATCCCATTTTTTATGTTGAGAGTATTCAAAATTTTCTTTCGGATGATTGTATTTCCAATCTGGTTGCCCCCATCCACCACTGTCTTTCGGATAATCAGCATTCCAATCTCCTGAATTTGTCCAATCTCCTCCCCACCCAGACTGCCCCTCAACTTCCAACCCCCATTCTCCGCTGTTGCCCCACCCACTTTCTTTCATATTCTCAGTCTTCTTCCAGCCACTCTCCCATGGGTCTTCATCATTGTATTTCCAATCTGTTCGCCCCCATCCACCCCTGTCTTTCGGATAATCAGCATTCCAATCTCCTCCCCACCCGGACTGTCCCTCAACTTCCAAACCCCATCCTCCGCTGTTGCCCCACCCACTTTCTTTCCTACTTTCACTCTTCATCCAGCCACTCTCCCACTGGTCTTCATTATTCCAAGAAAAATCATTAGTATCTTTATGAAACTGATCTTCTTCTTCACCCCAACCAGGCGCTGTGTATGCTTCGCCCGGGACGAGTGCATCACCAAAAATTATGACTGGATCATGGATTTTGTCTGGAGCGGGGTCCACGGATCTGCAGCATTCAAGGTCCAAGAGAAGGTCGGAATCGACCATGCAATCCCAATCTATTTCGTCTATATAAAGATCAGGGTCGGGCAAAGGTATGTCACATTGGGTGCCATGTGATTCTGACCAGAACCGCTTCTTTGCATTTTTAAATGCAACTTCTCCTGCTGAGCAATCCCACTTTACCACGTTGTCAAAAAGGAAGGCAAACTTCTTCATCTCCAATATAGTTGCCCAATCTAATGAACCGATTGTTTTACAGAATGCTTTCTCCCATGAAGGAACTGTTTGTTGCCAGTTAATACCTGAAAGAAAGAACATTTGGTTATCCTTCACGAATATAATATGTAGTAATTAAATAAAAGAAATAAAAACCCCAACATGGTTGCCAATTAATGTAATATGTATGATAATACTACGTATGTGAGCTGGTTCTATAAATTCAAGTAAAGAATGGCACAAAAGAATGACACCTGTTTGAGAAAACGCAACTTCATTCTTCACGGTAAACCAAGGGTATGTCTGGATCCTAGAAAATGCTTTACTTGAGAAAATTTTCATTTCCATACAACTCGCACTATTGTGAAAGGGCTTCGTACATACAATTCCATACTTTAACATGTGATTATTCTTTTACATCAAAAGTTGATTATTATGTAATACTCCATGTAATATATGTAGTTATTCCATAGCTAAGGTAGAGAGGGGTAGGATTGCTATTCATTTTTTAATCTCATTTCTGTATTTAAATGAATGAAAATAAAGGGGAGAGAGGCCTGGAGACTAATAAAAATATAGTAATGCATGATCTAATTATGTACGAGTATATAATTATATCTATTCCAGTACCTGCAATCCCATCTTCACAAACATGCAAATCCAACTTAGCATAATAACTTAGCTAAATAAATTTAAGCTTCAAGAAGAAAAAACACTATAAATATTATTACGTATATATTTATACCAGCAAGATATGACTTGTCAACACGAGTCTTTTTTTTTTTTTTTGGGGGGGGGGGGGGGGGGCTGAATTAGAGTATCCGCCATAATATGACAACAAGCTCATAATCAGTAAGTAGGGTTAGGCGGAGGAGGATCTACATTAGTGCTATAGTAGGTTGAAGCTCAGAGCGACTTAATTTTATATATTCTTTTAGTTTTTTTTTTCTTTCTATTTTCATATTTAGCCCACTTCATAATTACTCTTCACCCCAGTCCAACTCAGAATCCTGAATCTGCCTCCTGAATCTGCCTGGGCAAGAATTGGGTTAGATAATCCTATATACCTAAACGGAGAATCCACTCCCAATCCCTTTTCCCGCCTCTCTCTCTTTTTTATTGCTTTGCCCATTTACTATCTTTGCCGTTTGCACCGTTGTTATCTGGCGTTTCAATTCTCCGCACACAATTTGCGCTCTTCTCATTTACTAATAATAAATATAATAAATAAATTCATAATTGCTGTCCGATACTCCTCATTTACGACTCATCTCATATTTGACTCACTACTAACCACCGCTTCTTCGCACTGCATCTAAACTTACTTACAAGTTTAGATGCAAGCAATTTTGCACCTCTCCTACTTACCACCTTTTGTTCTCTTCTTCTCATCATAACTATCTCCTGCAATTTGCGTTGATTTCTTCTGACATTCTCACCTTTGGAAGATGAAAACACTCTCTCTACGAATCAATCAAGTCTCACAACGAACAAAAATCGTAGGGGGAGCACAGAAGCCTTTCGCAGGTGAAATCACCATCGCCTTTGAGCCCGTCAAGGTTCCGCACCCAGGCCTCTATAATTCCCACAAAGAGACCGCTACATTGTAGTATATCAATCGGCGACCGTTGCTGGTATGTAAGACGTCGAGATGCTTCGTCTACCTCTCTCTCAGCCGAAATCGACCCCCTTTCGAAGAAGTCAATACCCCCGCCTCATATTGTTGATGCTTTTCTAATTTGTTGCAGAAAAACAAGGTGCTCACAATAGAAGTTGATGGTTATCTATTTTTTTCACTGCGGTTATCTATTTTTTTTTTTTAAAACTGTGCTTTTGTTCTTATATACATGTCAATAGAAGTTACTTATGACATCAGTTTTGTGTTGCTATTGTTTGTTTTCTGGTTTGGCTCTTTTCCTACACAGTGGTTTTATGACATTGGTTAGTTTTTTTTAAACATTTAGAATGAGATTAGAAGCAAGTTCTTTATAGTACACTAATTGGTTTCTTCAAATTTGAGAATGAGAACACAATTACTATATTATCTCATATTCTTTTTAACTTAAAACATTCTGCTAAATTTGAATTTTAATCCAGTTATGGTTTTATTTTAGATTCATATTTTCAACATCAACTTACTAAGTTCAGGTTGAATGTTTTAAAGATTGTAATATAATATGTAACTAACTGATGGATAAATATTCACCATCTTTATCTAATAGTTTATTACATTCTAATAGCGTATTCTATGCACATATCTAAAGTATCACCACTTCTCTACCCTGATAGACTAACATGTATTTTAGCAAAGTTAGTCTCAGTCTGAAGAATGAAAAGAAAAAAAAAAACTCTTAGGCCCCTCAAAAAAGCTACTTTTGAAATTGCCTCTCAGAACTTGCTCCAATTAGTCATCCAAGAAAATTACAACTTCTGGAACATGGATTAAGAAACTTATAATTGAAATCCAAAATATCTCTATTTGATGATATAATAAAAGATAAGTGATCTGATATAATTTGTGCAGAAAAAGAATATTGATGATTGACATCATTTTTTTAATCTTTTATTTGGTTGTTAGAAAAAATTACCAAGCCAATGATAAACCGGTCCAGGCAAGGATCAAGAGAGTTCTAGATTGCTGCTTGTGCATTTAGTGGGCAATGGAAGAAGTTTAACTCTGCTTTTCCTCAATGGTCATGGTGTCGATGTCCAAATCTTCTTGGGGTTCCTTCCACTGGAGTACTGCCCTGCACCCATAGTTTGCTTGTCTTTTTGGTGACACATTCAAAGATGTATTTTATTTTATTTTATAAAATAGCTTAGTTTCTGTTTTTATTTATTTATATATCCAGGTAGATGGTTATCTCTGCGTGGATGGTTAGCCACATTCGGGAGAGCATACCCAATACTTTGACTGTGACGTCATGAGTTTTATTTACGTTTTCATCAGGTGTGCATTGTAATGGAACATATACTTCAAGGTTCATGACTGTGGGCTACCATCGGAGGATGTTGATTTCTTAAATTCTGATGGAAAGACAATGAACCAACTGCCTTTGGAGGTTTGTGTCCTATATTCCGACGCAGTTCTCATTTTTACAAACAATAAGTTTCTACTTGCTTGGCAGTTTCGGAGCAAGTTTTGATTTTGGAGCCAGTTTCAAGGAATAAGCTTACTACTTGCTTGGCACTTTTGGAACAAGGTAATTTATTTATCTATATTTTGTTGCTTTAATAACAACAAAATATACCTTATTGTTGCAAATATTCCAGTAACTAAGGTAACCAACTTTTACTATTTTTTTATATTTTTTGTTTTTATGATTTTTATTGTCTACATCCTTTATGGGGTATATTAATCTAAATTGAGATTAAGTTTTAACTTTTAAGCCACTGAACTGTTTTTGTTTAAATATTTGGATATTAATGATGATCTTATATAGTTGAGAAACTGGCATCAGCTCAATGCCAGTCTATTATCACATGAGTAGAATTTGCGCTGGAGGATCCTACATATATTGTTCTATTGCTACCTTTTTAGACATGAATTATTTACATGAATATTCTGAGCTTTTATCTTAATGCTATACTTAAGCTGATAGAAGGATCAAAGCTTCCAAACATTGTCAATCCTTTCATTCGATATTCAATTGACATTAAGCATCAATGCCAGATTAGTTGGCAATAGAAAATAAAAAGGTTCACTATCAAAACTACCATTTCTGTCCCAGAGTTCTTTGATGAGATTAGAACACTATATACTCACACAATTCTGGATATTTTCTGGAGTTTAACTGCAGGTTGCTAAACTACACTTTTGTAGCATTTTGACTGATGTGTGAAGAATACTAACTGAGGATGCTTCATTAGTGTTTTCTGAGTTATCTTTTAGAGTAGCTTTCATGTGACGCTGTATGTGTTTCAGCTTACAAGACAACTTTGTTGGCTGCTATTGGGCAATACTTTAATCTATTTTACAGAAGATCTATATTCTTTTTTTGTTAAGATCTATATTTTTCCTCTCCTCGCCTATTGGTAATTGTAGGTTTTGGCAGGACCAAGCGTTACAAGGCTTTAACCGTTTTGGATCCATGTGCATGCTTGGACCGGTCGGCGGTACCGGTACTGGGGGCCCGAACTGGGGTTATGGTGGGTAGGGATCCGGGATTGGGTTTTGGATGATCGGCCCGGCCGGTCCGAGCCATTTATTTTTTTGGGCATTGGGCCATTGCTAGGTGGGTTGCGCTGGGTGTTTTGCCAGGGTCGGGGGTAGGAATAAATGAGCAAAACCTTTTAAAAAAATGACTCAACCCGGTCCCGGGCCTTAAGCCCAAATACTACGTATTCAGTACCGCCCAAGACCGGCCCGAAGCCCGGACTGGGCCCGGTCCATCCCTACTTGGCAGCTGACATTGGTCATGTTTAGTATTTTTGGAGACCAAAATTGGTTCTTTTTCTTTTTTGCATTTCAAGATTAAAAGGTAAAAAGGGATAGAGAGGGCCGGAGGGGGTTAAGAGGATTTAAAACATAAAAAAAGTAAAAATATAAAACATATGTAATAATTGAAGACATGATTATATTTTGGGCTGAATAATTGACTAGAATGGCTGGGTACTTGGGTAGGATTGGGTTTGCAATAAAGACTTCAATACTATGTAATGTGTAATGTTTAGTAAATTTTAATATTTGTTTATTTATTTACGATGTCTCTGTGAAATTTATAATATGATCGTATTACATCCCGTGCAACGCACGGGTGGAATGCTAGTGAAGGTAACTTACCTAGTCCCATACTGGATGGAGGGGAAATTTAATTAATCAAAGGCAAGTAGGTAAAGCACATCCTTGATCATTCTACAATGAATGGAGGAGGTATTTACTATTTAGTTCCCACTAAATAAAAATATAGGCTACTAATTTATCTTTAGTATTTGATTGAATTAATTTTTATTTAATCGTATGTATTATATAAGCATTTAAAAATCTAAACAAACGTACCAGTTCAAAAATAATAATCATATTTCATTTACATTTGTATTTCCAATGTATATCCTTATATCCAAACATAAGAAGAAGAAAAATCCCTGGCATCTTCTTTTCCTTTCTCTTGCATTTTCTGGATCCAAACATAGCCCAGGGGCAAGTAGGTAAAATAACCATTCCCTAATCCAATGACTGTACCTAGCTAGCTTCATCCTAAGACAACAGTAACATCAACTATACCATAATTGGGAAAATAATAGACAGTGCATAAAAAGATTAAAGAATCAAGCATCAGAATTTACACCCATTTTCCAACTGAGATTACTAAAACCTATTTCCTAACCACCCATATAAGGCATATCTATCATTCACCTACCCTCCTATTAAATATGAAATTCATCATTGAATAAAAAAAACAAAAAAATCCATTATTTAATTAATGAAAACCTAAAAAGGTCTAAACCGGTCCATCGTATATACCTTGAGGTCCACGAGGAGGTCTTTTACTCTGCGATGGTCTTCTGGAAACATCAGCCCATTGATCCACACCACCCTGCATTCTCCTACTGTTCTCCATCAACAATCAACGACCCAGAACCTCAAAACTAAGAAGGGGTATTCGAGGAGATTCCTGAATATTGAAACGACTGGCGAAAATATTGCAATGAAAACGACGAAGATCCCAGAAATCGGAAGTGAGAACTGAGAACAGGACTGGAGAAGAAGAAAGTTTTATTTCGGGTTTGTTTTGGAATGAGAAACAGAACAGAAATCCGCGTAGTAATTTCGGTCAGAAACGATCCGAAAACGGGGTGGTAGCGCGCAGAAAAGCAAGAAGAGACAAGAACAATTACCACAAGAAAGAAATGAAGGAAAACCTCGAAAAACGTTTTGCTTTTTTTGTGTACTCCGTTTTGGGAGGGAGGCGACAGACGAAGAAAAATCAAAGTGGTGATGGTACTTGGTGGGCACTTTAGGAGTGTTTAGATCCATTTGTTTAAATTGTTTCTACTTAGGGTCTGTTTGCAACAGCTTCTGCTTTAAAAAAAGTGTTTTTTTTAATGAAATGAGGAGAAGTGGTTAAATAAAAGTTGATAGTGTTTGAGAAAAAAGTGATTTTGAAAAGTAAAAGTGGGTAGTGTTTGATAAAATAAGTGTTTTTTGTGTGATAGAAAAAGTAAAAACACTTTTGACGCGGAAGCCGAGAAAAATAAAAGTTGTAGTGTTTGGGAAAATAAGTGCTTTTTAAAACCAAAAGCTGAGAAGTACTTTTTTAAAAGCAGTTTCAAACCAACCCTTAGACAACTTTGTACTCCGTAGTTCGGAATAGAGTTGTCTTGAGAAAAGGTCAAATAATGTCTTACTAGTTATCTCACCGTGCGTTGCACGGGAGTGAAATATATACCTATAGAATTATTTAGATGCAATTACATAAAAACTACAAAAAAAATGATATTGAACCAATAAATGAAAAGATTAAATTAAATCTAAAATACCAAATCATTGTAATATCAGACAAATAAATAAATGGTAACAATTAAATGTTTAACATCATACAATGAAAATGTAAGGATGTTTTTACTTGGAGTGAAAATGTTCACTTATTACAAATTTAATGAAAAAAAAACTTATACTCCCTCCGTCCCAATATAAAAGGTACATTTTCCTTTTCGGGTCGTCCCAATATAAAAGACATATTTCCCTTTTTGACAAGCAAAAACAGTGTCAAGCAGTGGTCAAATGGAGGGAGTATCAATTATTGTTGTATTTTTTGTCATCATTCCTCTATTTTCTCTAATTTTTCGTATTTGATACTTGGGATGTTAAGCATCTCACACTCATTCCTACATTAAATTCAGCATCAATCACATATTTTTTTTCCATTAATATGTATGAACTATGTTCCGCTTTAAAGTTCCCATTATGAAATGATACAATTATTTAGATAATAATTGAATAAGATAACTCGTGTATATTTTAAAAATATTAGTAGTGATTGGGAAAAATGGATGACATGAACATGGAAAAGAAGAGGAGGAAAAAGAAACAAATGATTCGTGAGACTTTTTTGAGAAGAATGATCAAAGATGGAATTAACCCGAAGATGTTATCAACTTTTTTTAATGGGAAAGAGGTACTCCAATAGGAGTCCAATAGGAGTCCTGACAGAAATAATGGGAAAGAGGTACTCCAATGGGGCATTCTTGTGTAAATAATAACAATAATAATGGTATATGGGACGATGAGGAGGGAGAGTTGTGCCTTTTTGTGTGTGAGTTGTATGATTCTTTGTTCCAGGGCGGTTCAAAAATAGATGATGCACTGAAACAATCTCTCTCCTCACACCGGACCCTAAGGTATTCCTGCCATCTTCCCCCCAGTGTGTGAACATCAGGGGTTGGTAGACCTTCATGGCTTCATACTTCTCTACAACGAACATTCCCACCCCATGCCTGATTTATTCAAGTACAAAGGAATGAGACGTTTGATTAAATTAAAAAGAGAATGTAGCAAATGATCATACAGATTTTAGAGTGTGATATAGATGTATACGGAAATAGAAAAAGGATTCAGATTCCTAAATATCTATTAGGTAGATTCCTAATTATATTAGCCTATTATGGAGTACCTAATATATCCTGACAGATTCCTAAGTATATTCAAAGAGCTTACGTTGAAACTTTATATTTTTATTAATGAATTTGTGATTCATGTTAATTATTTCTCTTATGCACAACCTTTAGTCATACATTTTTAATTTATATCCATGCAGGTCAAACTTGGTCATATTTTGAGTGACGTAGGGAGTATTGTTTTCCAACTTTTAAAATACCCACTGATTATTTATAAGTTTCATGACATCTTTCTTTAGGGTAAAAGTTTCAAATTCAATCCAAAATAACACTTGGTGGCTGAGGAGTAACTCACCTAGTTAAAATTATCATGAGACAAAATGCCAACCCAATGCCCCTAGGGGTGGACCGGGCCTAGGTCTGGGTCGGATCTTGGGCGGTTTAATTTTTTTGGGCATTAAGCCCGGTACTGGCCCGGGTTGGTTTCGGGACCGGGTAGGGCCCATAGCATCTTATTAGCAAGTAGATAACCTGAATTGATAATTTATTTACCTTTCAGGCTCTGAATTGATAAAATTCATTTTGTTTACAGTAGAAACTACTTTTGGATTCCATATAGGGGTGGACTCGGGCCGGGCGGCCCGCCTCGGAACCGGCCCAAACCGGTTACTGTTTGAACTGGCCCGGCAAGGGACCGGTCTGGGTAGGGCCGACCTGCTGGGGTTCCGGGCCGGGCTCGGGCCCCTCAAAAGGTGAACCGGCCCGGCCGGTCCGAGCCTGGTCCAGGCCAATTTATTTATTTTTTCTTTTTTTTTTTCGATTTTTTTTTTAAGTTTTTGGGTTGGATTGAGTATTTTGGGTCATTTGAGGTGGTTTGGGGGTGAGGGGGGAGGGTTGGGGGTTAATTAGGCAAAGCCAAAAATATATATATAAATTGAACCGAGGCCCGGCCCGGCCCGGACCCGGGGGTTACCCGGGCCGGTTCCGGGCCTCCCCTTTCATGAACCGAGGCCCGGCCGGGCCCAGGCCCGAACCGGCCTGAGTCCACCCCTAATTCCATAAAGTATGGTACTTTGTTTACTTTTATTTTTGTAATTCAGGGCCTGTAAGATATATAGATTATCAATTCAGGACCTGAAAGATAAATTGTATCGATGTAGGATCCGAATGATGAAAAACTATTAATCTAAGACCTAACATTTATCGGTTTTTATTTATTTTTTATGAATTCCATTGCTAATTTTTGATAAAATTTTCTTCACAAAAGTTTATTAGTTTAATAAACTAAATAATATTTAAAATTTTTGAAATAAAAATAATAATAAAATTTATGACAACTTAGGTCCTTAATTGATATTTTTCCATTATTCAGGTCCTATACCGATACATTTCATTTTTCAAGTCCTGGATTGATAATGTTTCTATCTTTCACATCATGGATTGATAAAATTCCGATTTGTTATGAATTACAACAAATAGGTATGGCCGGTTGAAAGTTATCCATTTGTTATAATGCTGTATTTCTCATTTCTAATGTTGAACGTCCAATGATTTGAAAATAGATGACAAACGCACAAGACTAGTATCAAAGCAAGTGAATTTAGAACACCACTTCCAAGAAAGTTACTCCACCTCATCGGTAAGCAATCCCTTTCAGCTGTTAAACTTGATAAACTATATTATCAGTCTCTGTTCACACCAGTTATCATCCCATTTGGGTTTACGGTAGCAACAAAATGCCACATTATAAACTGTAAACAAATCTCATTGAAACTTGGAAGCTTGCAGCCAGCATAAGTGGATAAGCAAGGGAAACATTTAAGAAAACAAACTTGACAGTTCGGTTTATAAATCCATTTGGAATTTCTTGAGCATCAACTAAGGATAACTGTAAAGCGTATTCACAATATCAGAAACATCAAAATAAAATCAAATTACAAAGTAAAGGATCATTGATAGAAAGAAGGTATTTAAATAGTTTGAAGCAATTTTCTATTTATGAAACAAAATGTATAAACAGTACTTAGTATTTTATAAGTATGAAGTAATAACAATAAAAACTATAGAACTAAATTCTCCAGTAATTATAGTCCAACAAATAAAAAATCAAGGAGTTGAATGCTTTTAGCTGCATATAAAGAAAATTTGGTATGGAGATAGCATTCAAAGTTGATTTTGAAAGAGAGAAACAAAGAGTTAAAATCTCACATTGCCCGTGAGCAAGTAAGGGACTGGGGGTTGATATTTTTTTACGTGCAGCTTTTTATATGATTGTATTTCAATTTGCCTCACATGCATAGCTAAAGACATCAAAGAGTATGCCATTTGGTTGGTTAATTTATTTTTAAATCCAAGTACATGGGACCTCTTTGAAAAGAATTGTTTTTTATTACACCATGTAAAAAAATTATGTGCGAAAATTGTAAGAAACACACACTTCAATTATATATTTAGAATTCATAATCTTTTAAAGCATATCATTTTGATTCATTTTTATATCTTCACCTTCCTTTTTCCTTTCTTTGGCTGTTAATAACCATCCATGATAAAAGACTTGTGATTAGAAAGGTGATAGATACAAAAAGGTATGTGTAAATAATGTGTAAACCTAATTCGTTTGTGATGTATCAAAAAATGTAAACACTCTAAGATCTTTAACCCTATTACAAAATCAGAAATAAGTTTTACTTCATATTTCGAAATCAGAAATAAGAATTCTAAAATGGAATCTAATGACAATACTCTAAAAACACAGTTTTCTTTCCAAACCACTGATAAATGATTCATTTGAAACATGTGGCACTTATTTTGCGGCTTACCCGTCTTAACAATTTGAGCTATTGAAATATGCCCTGGGACGTGTCTAGATGGAATTTTTGGAGCTGCTGAAACAACAGAGCTGCAGTACCAATTACTTCTTCAGATATAACATTCATTCACCCAATTAAAAAGAATGGAATTACTGAATTACAGTGTATACACTTGTAAAAGAATGTTTGGATAAAGAACCTAGCCTCATAAAAACAACTTTTTTTACCAAAGCAAACCTGGTATTATTTGGTTTGCGAACATATACAGTCATACTTTTCATCAAAATTTAGTTTGCTAAGCATACCCTGTTTGTTTTTCAATTTTCACATTGTCCCTACTCCTTCACAAACGACATTACACATTGAACTCATGAGTTTTGAATCCAAAAAAATGCATGTTTTTTATTTTGTAAAGAGATAAATCAAGAAAATAAAGGATTGAAGAACAGTTATTGATATATAGTAATTAAAAACAACTGCTACAATCTTTGGATTTATGGTGAAGCTTCATAAAGAGATATTCTATCAAATATGAAGGCCACAAAAATGAGAGTGGTCATTACTATTAAAACTATCTAAACCA